TTAGACTATGTTCGAAAATATATCCGGATGCATCCATGTATTATTTATCTTCGTTTAACATTCGGTAAACAACAAGGATAAAATAATACATAGATGCACTCGAGTGAAGACAACCTAGATGTCGCGTTGGTGTGCATAAGATTTTCGACTCAGGGTACGATCAACACGATCGCTTTAAAGTATTTTTTAATTGATTAGTTTATAAAATTCTTTCTTCTAATTGGTCCATCAAATGCTTCAAAGCATTTGTAGCGAGATTTTGACCACAGCTTCATTATAGAATCAGCATTACAGAAATTTTGTCTTAGGTCCTTAATCTTTGTTTAATGCTCGACGAACAACAAGGATAAAGTAATACTTCATTGATTAATAGTTTGCTCATTTTTGTAATTTTTTCACTTCGTCTAAAGAACTATAATAAGCCTCCTAGGGATTGATTCTGCATCTTGAAATGATGTAAAAATTATAAAAGTGCGAATTTACTAGAATACTGATTATTTCATTGATCAACACCTAGTAAATTTGCTTGCTTTTGTCATTTTCACCTTGTTTGAAGCTACAGAAGCTACCCCCTGAAATCACAAAAGAGACTGGAGCCATGCTATTATTAAAATAAATAAGTTATTCTTTTGTATTTTGTATTAGCTTTAGATAAAGTTAAAATTATGTTTTCTCTTTTCTGCAACTAAATCAGCTATTGGTAGTCATTGTGATTGGCAGTGTCAATTGCAACAGTGCAAGTGAATTATTCCTCTACATATTGCGGAAAGTTCAATATTTCATAATAAAACATATTTACATGATCCTTAGCAAAAGTTCCTAAAAATCGTATTCTCTTATTGGACATTGAACATCGAATTGTGAATCTTCCAAATTTTAGGCATTTGCATGTGTCACGACTATTTTCCTAGGTCTGTTCTTTTCAGCTGAACTTCTTACATATGGTCTGTTCGCGTTGATTGCACTTTTTGCACTCAGCATCTTCGCTTTTTTTTTTTTTTAATGCCCAAATATATATTTATCTCATTTTTAATTTAAAAATTGTTGAGAATTTCAAGCAATGCGAACAGACCTATAGTTTCTCTATTCTCTTTTTCTTTCCAACATAAAAAGAAAAAAAAGGATAAATGAATCGTGCAAAAGTTAAAAAGAACAAGTCTCAATTAAAAGAAAAAGAAAAAGAGAGTAGGAGTAAGCGGCAGTGACTGGTGAGTCGGCCAGCTGGAGGCGAGGAGAGAGAGAGAGAGGGAGAGAGAGAGAGAGGAATCGTCGCCATATTGCCGCGATTGAGCGTAGTGTTTGTTTTGTCGGTGGAAGCTGCGCGTTGGTCCCATGCGTGCGCGCGCGCACGCATACGAATCCCGTCCCTGCGTCTCTCGCAAGCAAGTTGGCAGATTGTGACAAATCTCAAGCAATCACGAGGACCATCACCGCATTCATTTAAATTCGCTGACGGAACCGTCGGTGTTTTGTCATATTCAAGACACTCCGCTTTCCCCGCTTCCCTTCCCTTCCCATCTCCCTCTTGAGCTTCTCATAGCCGACGTCGGTTCCCACCCTTCTCTCCCCCGGGAGAGGGGGACTACGGTCCTCGCGACTGGGTGTCAGTCGCGCACGGGACACACGGGACGGGTAAGTCCGAGAACACTGCGCCACTACCGACAGCAGTAGCACCATGGCGTGCGCCACGCTCAAGAGGTCCTTGGAATTCGACCCGGTACACAGCCACGGCCGGCCCAGCAAACGACGGAGGTGCATGCCGATGTCGTGTGCCTCACCCGGCGCTTCCGCGTCGTCACCACGAAGTGGACCGCTGCCGCAGAAATCGTCGCCGTTCGGCGAGATAGCTAGCAAATTGACGCCTGGTAATTACACCGCAGGCTACGGCCATTTTTTCTCTCGCTCTCCGTCGCACCCGTCGCATTTCCCCTCTGTTTATCTCTGTCTCTCACTCTCCTCTCCCCTTTTGCTTTCCTGTCGTTTTCTTTCTCTGTCTCTTTCTCTCTCGCTCGCTCTCTCTCCGTTCCTTCCTCGCACGCGTATTTGTCTTCATTGCTCACAGAGAGAATGAGCGTGAAGGGGCATGAAGGGATAGGAGGAAAGATTGGGCGAAAAAGAGAGAGACGACGAGTAGGGGCGGCTAAGCTCCAGCGATTTAAAACCCGTCCACACTGGGGGAGGGAGAGGGGGGAGGGCACGCGTAAATCATATGGTAATGTAGTAACGGACGCGTTCGGGGATTCGGGTTTTCCTCCCCCCCTTTTTTTTTCTTTTTCCTTCTCCGGTTTTTCCGTGCTGCGAAAGGAAGCCGCAAAGATGCGCCTGGAGAGCGTTTTCTACTTTCCATGCACGCGCGACAAGTCTGTGATAGTACATATATATATATATATATATA